TCTTCATTCTTCTTTGCTCTGGACGAGGAGAGACCCATCGTTGCATCTAGATGGCAGCTTGCTAGCTTTTAAGATCCCAGTCGCTACTTGCCAAAGTGGGAGGTGGAACAATGTTTTGTATAGTATGTTATGGCAATTGAGCTTGATGTCCCCTGTGACTATTGGTGCCAAGCCCGCAAGTTCAACTGCTCTCGGTCCCTCTGGGTAGCTGGCTGTGACCAAGCAGTGACCACAACCTTGCCCCTTCACAAGCGGATTCTTGTGTCTGCATATGATTTGACAGATTCTCAGCTGGGCTTGGACCCACACAAACCAGCTGGAAGCCCTTGTAGGAGGACGTCAATGAGTGAGTGATGAGCGCTCCAGGCTTGGTGACACTAGTTAATAAAAGTGGCCTGGACCAGAGACCACCACAGTGACTTCTCAGTCCCCTTTCAGTGTAACTGTGTTGTGTGTTTGAAGTCTTCAAAAGCTCTGTGGATGAGACACAAGATGAACTTGACAAAATGCTGTGCCCTTTAGTTCTGTTTCTGATCACATAACATGTGAGAGAAGTAGTTTTCATATAAAATATTTAGATGGTTTGGTATTTCCTGGGACACAGGAAACACAGCACTTGGCCTGGCACAAGTCTTCAGTTGTCAGAAGCCCAGAAAACACACCATGGTGTCTTAATGATGTCATAAAAGGGCTTTCACTGTTTTACTACCTCAGAGCCCTGGTCTCTAAGTGACTCCCATTAATATCTGGGACTGCTGAGAGGCCCGCAGGAAGGGGGAAAGGGTTAGGCCTTGTGAGATGCCCCAGTGGCCAGTTACTAACAGGGGACCCAGGCACCAGAATGGGGGAGACCTGGGCCAGGTCCCCAGGTGGGTAGGACATCTGCACATAGATGGGAGCACCCAGATTTGCTGTCTCTTGGTTCTGCCATTGCGTTGTTTGTGACCATTTACATGTTGTTTAACCTTCTCTCCCCTGATTTCTGTTGGGAAAATTGGTCCATTAACCCTTGCCTTCCACCTCCCAAGGAGCATTTCAGTGGCCTATGCTTGGAAGGTTCTTTTCCATCCTCTAAAGAACAGCATAGTCACCTCACAAAATGAAAACAAACCAAACCCACTGCCTTCAAGTTGACTGTGATGATAGTGACCCTATAGGACAGAGTAAGACTGCCCCATGAAGTTTCTAAGGTTGTAAATCATTACAGAAGCAGACTCCGTCATCTTTTTCCCACAGAGTAGCCGGTGGGTTCAAACCGCTGACCTGTTGGCTCTGACGCCCTGACACAGAGTTGGGAGTAGAAAATTGCAGCAAGGTACAGCTAGTTGGGGCTGATTGTTAAGTATGTGAGCTGGGCTTTCCCTGTAAAGGGAATTCATTTTCTTACATCCAGGTGTATATTGTACTGTCAGTTCTGTTTAGATTTACGTTCATGAATATCAGAGGACAGCATTTCTTCTTCTTTGTGACACCTTTTTAGATCAAGGGCTATTTTACTTCTCTTTTCTAAGGTGAACACTTTTTCCTTAGAGGGGAGTTTAGCAGTTCGGGTGGATCCTGTCATATTTGCACCTGGAGGTTTGCCAAAGCTGATCATTGAAGGTATAGGAAAGAGACCTTTTAGTGGGACATGTAGGTTTTCAAGGTAAAACGACCAATTTAAAATGGATTTTTAAATAGGTGACCAGATTTTTGGTAGAGTTGTCATGTGGTGAGTTGGTTCTGCCGTACAGAGGGTGTCTGTCGACCTAGGCTTTTCATTTGGAGAGGATTATTTTAACTGTAGTGCATCTCATTGTCTGTCTGAGAGCTGGTGATTGTTTGAAATACAGTCCTCATTTAATTCCGGTCCCAGAGTGACCTTTACCCAGCGGTACCTGGCCTGATGCTGCAGCAAAGAATCAGGCTAGGTTTCCCGCGTGTCCTTTGGGGCCGAGATGGTGATTCGTCAGGAGTATCTAGGTGCCCAGGTGTGCTTGTGGAAGTACCCTCTGCTCTCCAACACTGGCTCAGTTTTGACAAGCTTTCTGGGTGTTTGCCCTGTGGCCAAGCCTTTTCATTTGCTGTTGAAGATTACGTTGTGCTTGCTGCCCTCTAGTGCCTACATGCTTGATCTTCACAGGAGAAATGGCTTTTTTTTCCTATTGGCTGGGAGCATTGGCCAGTTAGACTGGCTCAGTCCAGGTGACTTTTGAAGAAGCCAGCGGTTCTAGATGGGGGGTGGGGGTGGGCGCCATGCTTCTCCGTGTGGTGATCCTGTGTGGTTCAGATGATGTTGCCCGCCTGGGCCAACCAGGGTAGAAATAACCTACCTTGGGGTTGAGCCAAGCAAGGAACCAAATCTAACAGCGAATTAGGCTACACCCAGGATAAACAAAACAAAAGCGCACGTGTTGTTGAGGCCATAACATTTCAAAAGAAGCATGTGGTGTGTTTTTGTCTGTTTTGGTTCTACTCTAACATGTATGTGAGCATTGTTTATTTTATGCTTTCAGAAAACTTTTTTATCCAGAATATTTAATAATTCAAGTCAGCACACTTTACTCATGTGCTGCTGTTTTTTTGATTATGTTTTTAATATCAAGTTCAGTTTTATTATGATGCGCTGTAACACTGATAGACTTCATTTAATGAAACAAGATTGAGCACAGTATAATCCATTCAGGGCGTAAGGGCGGTTCATTTGTTCTCTGCTAATGATGTAATTAATCAGTGCTTATTCTGATGCAACTGTTTCCTTAACATACATATTTTTGTTTCTTTTTTAAGATAAAAATGATGATGGAGGAAAAATAAAGCATCTTACATCCTCGAGGGAGTGCAGTTATTGTGGGAAGTTTTTCCGTTCAAATTATTACCTCAATATTCATCTCAGAACGCACACAGGTAAAGGTCTATCGATGTCTTCGTAAACATGTATTCATGAGAAGAATGACAATGTAGTTCTGTGATTTTGTTGCTGTTGCCATTCGAGTATTCTTTTAGATCCTGGGTGTATTTCAAGAAAAAATCTGTGGTGGACTGATTACAGTTGGTTTACTCTCTTAGAATCGTTGTAGCTTGAACCTGTTGTGTTATCCTTTTTTGAAGCTAAAGGTCCTGGCTAGCTCATGGCTACCATATTCAGACCCTTACCGTATTAAAGCTTTTCTAACATGTTTCAATGCCACATCCTTTCTCGTAGTAAGTGTATTAGTGGTCTTAGATTGTAGGAGCAGCTGTAACATAATGGGCTTAGGAGCCTGCAGGGACGTCAGTGTCTTCTGCTACTTACTAGCTGTGCAGCCTTGGGCAAGTTGGTTTAAGCTCTCTGCTGTGCCCCAGAGACTGTAGCTGTAAAACAGGAAACAGTTTAATAAATGATTTTTATGAGTAATATATAATAATAATGATAATAATAATAAAGGGATTAGTACTATTCACTGTTATGGGGGTCTTAGGAAGATTAAATGAGAAAAGTCGAAAATGCAGCTGTTATTTTATTATTTGTCCTTAAAGGCATATATTCACATTTAAAAATTTCCAGTAGAGTAAGGGTGGTAAATTCAAACAGCTCAGGAGAAATTCAGTACAAGAAAATGAGTAGCTAGAGAAGGGAGAAGGAAGGGACCCTGGACTCTGTAGTGAGTTAGTCTGGTTTCCCAAGAGCCGCATTGAGGCTGCGCGTGAGTTCCCATAACACAGCGCCTTCCTCATTTCAGGGGAAAAGCCGTACAAATGTGAATTTTGTGACTACGCTGCAGCCCAGAAGACATCCCTGCGCTATCACTTGGAGAGACATCACAAGGACAAGCAGGTTGAGATCGCTGCCGAAGCCAAGAGCCAAGACGGTAAAGATCAGGAGACAGAAAATGCACTGTTAGCCACGGAGAGTGCGCAGACCAAAAGCTTGAAGCGGTTTCTTGACGGTGCCAAAGATGCGAAAGGCAGCCCGCCTGCGAAGCAGCCTAAGGAGGTGCCTTCAGCCTTGCAGAACGCTGCAGGCAGTGCTGGGCTCGCGCCCGTTCACAAAGATGCTCAGGATTTCCGCAAAGCTGCAGCCGATGACGGTGCTGACAGGGTGACTAGAAACCCCGCCCCTGCTTACCTGGATGTGCTGAAAAAGAGACCGGCCATTGAGCCTCAGGCAGACAGCCGCCTCTGTCAAGCGGAGGTGGATGCTGCTGCCCGCCCGGATGGCAGTGCCACCCACAGCATGGAAGTCAGCCACAGAGAGAAGGCCATAGAGGGCGCCCCCGACTGCAAACCCAAGCCCCCCACAGACTGTCAGGAGAAGCCTTTAAATCTGTCCCTGGGGGCCCTTCCCAGCTGCCCAGCGATTTCCTTGAGCAAAAGCTTGATTCCAAGTATCAGCTGCCCCTTCTGTACCTTCAAGACGTTTTACCCGGAGGTCTTAATGATGCACCAGAGACTGGAGCATAAATACAACCCTGACATCCACAAAAACTGCAGGAACAAGTCCCTGCTGAGGAGCCGGCGTACCGGGTGCCCGCCAGCTTTACTGGGGAAGGACGTGCCTCCCCTTCCTAACTCCCAGAAGCCCAAGCCCAAGCCTGCCTTCCCCATGCAGGCAAAACCCCTGCCGTCCGAGAAGTCGAAGCCGTGCCCGCTGGGGCCGGGCAGAGCTCCGCTGACCTCGGGCCCAGACGCCAGCACTTTAGTCCCCAGCAACCTGAAGTCCCATAGGCCCTCACAGGGCGCCGGAGGACAAGGGGCTGTCCCCACCAGGCAGCAGCAGCAGCAGCCTGAGATCCTCTCTAAAACCAGTGTTTCCCCTGCACCGGATAAAACAAAACGACCGGAGACAAAATTGAAGCCTGTGGCTGTAGCCCCACCCCAGCCCGCCCTTGGCGGTGGCCACGTCAATGGTGCCGTTGACTACCCTGCCAAGAATGACAGCCCGTGGGCCACTCACGGAAGAGACTATTTCTCTAATCGGAGTGGCAGCAGTGCCAGCGTGGAGTTTGGTGAGCCACTTCCCAAAAGACTCAAACCGAGTGTGATAGCTCTTGACGTGGACCAGCCTGGGCCCAATCACCACAGAAGAAGCCATGACCTCCCCAAGTACCATGTTGTCCGCGGGATCTCCAGCTTGTTGCCTCAGGAATGTGTCTACCCACCATCATCAGTGTTGTCCCCAAAATCGAACTTCCTGAGTCCGAGTGAGGTCGACGCGCCAAACCTGCTGACGCTTCAGAAGCCCTGTGGTGCTTCGGGACCACGGTACCCTTGCTGTGGACCTGCCGGTAGCCAGCCGTTGAGCCCAGCGCTAGAAGGTACTTTCTGACATGCTTGAATTGGGTCTGTGCCTGTGGGAGCTAGTGTCTAATCCATGTATTCCTCAAGGGGCTTGGGCTCCTCAGCAACCCCAAGGGCTTAGTTCTTAAGGGCCACACAGTTCTCAGATATGGCAGTTATCAGTGGCCCCCCAAAACTCAACCCTGCCCCACAAGGTCACACTGTAGTGCTTCATCTCTTACTAAGTCAGTTTTTCTACATAGGGAGGTGATGGTAAAAGTAGAAAAAAATCGAGTGAAAAACATCAATTTGTTCCATTACTAGAGGAGCCTTGGTGGTGCAGCGGTTAAGCACTCAGCTGCCAACATGAAGGTTGGTGGCTTGAACCCACCCAGTGGCTGCACAGGAGAAGGACCTGCGGATCTGCTTCCGTAAACATCACCGTCTAGGAGACCCTCTGGGGCAGTCCTCTCTCCCATGGGAGTGCTAGGAGGCAGAGTCAGACAAACAGCAAATCCGTTGCTTGCTCTTGAAGGTCTGGTGTCAGTTGGCGCAGCCTCCCTAGCGTAGTCTTCTTTCTCCTCAGCACATTGATGGTGTGGGTCATCACAGTGCAGCATTGTTCTGCCCTTTACGAAGTTTCCCAGGAAGACACCAGACAGTGTTTCACTGCTGTCTAAGGTTTTGAGTGGCCAGTTTTTTTCAGAAGGGAATGGCCCCATTCTTCCTGGTCTCCCTTGGTCTGGAAGCGCTGCTGTAACCTGTTCACTGGGGGGACCCTGCTTGTATTTGAAATACTGGTGACATAGCTTCCAGCACCATGCAGGCCACCACAGTAGGACAGACTGACAGACGAGGGGTGGAATCATTGCTGAGACCTGGCACACCGTGGGGTTAGGGGCTGCTTCAGTCTGTGTCTCACCAGCTCTACTAGACTGTACACTAGGAATGGACCAGACCCCGGCCCGTGCCTCCCTCCTGGGGTGGGGGTGGGGGCCCCAGTAAGTATCAGTGAAGACCCTTGACACATGAGGAGCAGAGCATGCAGGGAGGGTGAGCCATGTTGCCACTAGGACTTCTGGAATCAGACTGTCTACGTAGCCTTTGTGTCATTGAGTGAATTTTTAAAATAACATTTTCCCACGTGTGTAAATTGTTAATCTCGTAGATTATTTTGGCATCTTTCTCCACGGAAACTTAATTTGTCAAATAAAGCATTTTCAAAGCTCACATTTCCTCATGGCAGCATCCGCTGAGGCGTCTGGCACACACTCACGCATGCGAAAAGGTTGCCTGGGGTGTCGCAGGGCTGCGTCCCACTCGGTTAACTTGATGAAACCACGCTGCCTCCCGTGAGCACCTGGAAGCTCTGCTGGTTTATGCTGCTCTGAGACAAAATGCACCCTTGTCCTCAGTCCTTGTTGGTCTCAGATGAAGGATTCGGTGTGGTACCAGCGTTCTAGCAGTGATATCCCAGTGTGGGTTGACCTGGTCGGGTACCAGCGTTCTAGCAGTGATAACCCAGTGTGGGTTGACCTGGTCGGGGCAGCCCAGGAGAAGGCACTGCCTTTGATATTTGATACTCCAGTAGTGGACAGAAATCGTGAGGAAGTGTTCATTTTTGCTTTGATTGAAAGCATCCCCTGTCCTTGTCCTTAAAATGGACATGAGTTAAACGTTTGAAGAAAAGGCTATTTTGCACATCTTATGTTGAATGAGCCTCATTCTCCACCCCTCTTCTGCACAGTCTTGGCTCCTGAGGTCTGTGGGTTTGAAATATTTTATGCTGCCCTTTCCTTTTGACAACCTGGACCCTAACTTCAGCTTTAATAACTTAAGTAAAAATTCTGGGCTTAACTTCCTCTAAATGACCTTTTACCCTTTTCTTTTTCCAATCAGGACAAAGACCCATGTCGTATCAACACTTACCCAGCAGCATGCTACAAAAGAGAGCCCACGGGAATCTTAGTGGGAATGCACACTATCGACCAAGCGACAAAAAAACTTGATTTCCTAATTTTTGGGAAAAGGTGAGCATATGTTTTAATAAAATATAAATTATTCATTTAATTTAGTTAAAACATAACCAGCTAGTGTGTCCAACACAATTTAATAAGATTTATGTAAATTTTTATTTAGATGTTAAAATTTAGATTCATCAGGGTCTCTGGACGTCAGCAATGGTAATAAAAGTAGAATTAGCATTTATTAACCATCTAGTTAGGAGCTCTGGTGGTGTAGTGCTTAAGGCATTTGACTGCTGTTCAAAAACCTGCCAGCCACTCTGCGGAAGGAAGAGTGGGCAATCTACTTCCATAGAGATACCGCCTCAGAAACCCAAGGAGGGGTCGCTATGAGTCGAAATCGACTCGACGGCAATGAGTTTGAGAAGAGTGTCCTGTGAACATGATCTTGTCAAATGCTTGTCACAGCAGCATGAGTTAGATCAGCAAACTGTCCTCCACCTATTTTTGTAAATAAAGTTTTATTGGCACACACCCATGCCCTTTCCTCCACACATTTTCTGTGGCTGCTTTCCTAATATAACATGAGAGCTGAATGAGTATGACAGATCCAAGGGTCTCCCAAAGCTAGACATTTTTACTACCCGGCATTGTATGTCTTGCAAAGCTGACATGTTTGCTGACCCCAAGGTTGGGAGGCCTCGTGCACACTTTGCTCATGAGGAAACTGAGACCTGGGCTATGTACTCTGCCCAAAGCCCCACTGTGCCAGCTCATGGCAGGAGCCTGCGTTTGGCTCCAGGTGTGCCGTGCCTGACTCCAAAGCTGGTGCTTGAATGCTCCACTTTTAAGTGCTTTTTTGGAGCCTTTGTTCATCCCACGCGTTCTCCCCCTCATCTTCACACTAAACCTTCAGACTTGGTCGTTGGTGACCATCGCCTCTGCCAGAGTTGGTGTTGCTAATTGTGAATTCTGAGTCTCGCCTGAGTCATCCAGTCGGAGTCACCATTGAGGAGACTTTAGCAATCTCTTCAGAAGTGCGTCGTCGTCTGTTTGGTCTGTGGAGACTCTGAAAAGTGTGAGCTTGAAATGGCTCTCCCTGCACTCCTAGGCCCCCTTGATTACATTTATTTACTTGCTTACTGTATTATTATGATTATTATTTTAAAATAGATTTTCTAAGGCTTCCTCAGTTCCACCTTAATCACTTTTCAAACCTTCGTCCCCTAGGTCTTGGATAGCAGTGTGAACTCTCCCTGGCATGACGTTAGTTCGTCCTTGAGGAGCCGGATGGGAAGCTACTGATTAAGCTGTGACCGTGCTGTACATAGGACATAAGGAACACTACACTTTCGTAAAGTTGTTCTGTTAACTTTTGTACCAAATAGCAATAAAAACTGTAGTCGGAACCGTTGGGTCATACACAGATGAGACCAGAAATCTCTATTTTGTTCCTGAATAATATTTTTTTTAGAATTGACCAAACAGGAAGTGGTGGTTTTTTGCATCCTTGAGCGCTGCTGAAATCATCTGGGTGGGGGTGGGGTGGGGAGAGTATATAATGCTTGCACCTCAGGTAACAATCTGTAAATATATTCAGTTGGAAACCTGCTTGTTGGAAATACTGTTTGTCGTCTTCCTCTCGTGGCTCGTCCGTCTTGAGCAGTCTCTGTGGGCTGTGTGCTTTCATTTAAAATGCTGTCATTTTTCCTTTTTAAATTTTCAATGATTCGTATGATGTTAAATTCCCCATGGTCTCTTGTTGTCTTACTGAAGTATTGGCCCTCTGTCAATACATGCTGCGGACGTTGAGGTCAGCCACGCCCCCACTGCTGTCCCTCTCATGGGCTTCAGCAAGTCAGCTGGCTAAGATGGATCCTGGTTTCTAGCTGCTCCTTAGGTGGTCCCAGAGCCGCCGCGGTCCTTGGCTGAGGGCCGGGATGGTCTGTGGGACGTGTTTACAGAAAAGCATTACCTCTGTCGTGCAGCCAGATGCTCGGTGAATGCTCTGAGCCGCGCGTGGGGCTCTGAAACTTGTTTTCTGTCAAGTGAATCATTTCTATTGCAGAATTCCATTTTTTGGTGGCATTTGCCTACATTGATATGTAAAAACTATTGGCTAAATTATCCATGTGAATCCCAGATACTGGGAAACAATGTTGAAGGAAATAAAAGTGTTGGGTAAATCTTAGCTTGGTACTTAGAAGTCTGGGTGTGTCTGGCATCTGGGGTGACTGTGGACATACGCAGCTAACTGTAGGCACATTGTTTCTAAATAAGTGGCCATTGGCCGAGCCTCCTGAGAGGGCATGACCTGTTCCAGCCTCCACTGTTTCCCTGCCGATTCCCATGCTGCCCTGAACAAGCCTTGCCCCATTGGTCATTTTGAAGCTGCAGTGTTCTTCTCAGCGCTCATGTAAAATGGGTTTGAGAGGGAGGCTGGCCCCCAGCTGGCGCCCACCCCTGCACCCTCAATGCCAGCCCCGGCTGCCTGTACCCGGCAGTCCCTGGGGTAACGGTCACCAGGTCTCTTACGGGAAACCATCTCCAAAATAGATTTGCACTGTTAGCTGGTCTTGCCCTGCCCTGTGCAGAGCAAGAGGAAAGACCTAAGAAAACAAGCTGGAGAGATGCTGACTTTTCTCATTATGCAACGTGATGTGTCCTCGATTAAGTCCTAACTCCCACAGTCGAGTGGGTCCTCGGAGATCAGCCGCCGGCATCACAGTGAAGTGCTTTGCATCAGGAAAGCGTACACTCTTGGCCTTTTTCCTGTAACAAGCTGAGCCATATGTACATAATGTAGATTCTGTTTTCATAGTTTTGCACTTTTATAGCCTATTTTTGGAAGATGAACACATTTGCAACGTGATTGACCCAGTCTTTGCCTAATTCAGTGAGCGTCATAGAAGGCGCGCTGGAACTGTCACTGTTAGTTTTAAAGGTGAGCATGTGATAAAGGAGGGCTGAACTTTAATCTTGTATTTTTTAAAAAAAAAGATTCACCAAATCTACTTGAAAACAGTTAGTTTGTGCTGTGCTGAAACTTTTGGGGCTTTCAGATTCTTTCCAGCCACATTTCGGAATGCAGGGAAATGCAAAAAAAAAATTTTTCCCGTGGCCCTGTACTTCAAAATATATTTTCGCCCATCAGTGTTAGCTATTGGAATACTACTGGTTTTATATATATATATTTTTTTTCTTTTGAGACAACAGTACATATAATAGAGGTACAATTCATTGGAATTTTGTTTTATGTATTTATTTCATTCCACTTTGATTTATTTTAATTGTGGATACTTCAGTTGTCAAGCAGTAGACATGACTTGTTTTATTTATGATATATTTCAGCTTAATAAAGTTATGTTATTATATGTGGATGTAAATATAGATTTGGTGTTTTGCAATCTTGGGTTTTGGTCTTCATTGTGTTCTGGTTTCTGATTGTCTTCCGTTGACCTTTTATATAAATGGAATTTTAAACAGGCACAAAGTTGGAAAGGTTGACACAGTGGACGCAGGTCCTTGTCCCTCAGCAGTGTTTTGCCAGTATTGTGCCCACAATCCCCACTGGAGTATTTTAAACAAATCTTGGAAGTGGTTTGATTTCATCCCTAAAGGCCTTCCATGTGTATCTCTAGCAGGTAAGGATTTTTTTTTTCACTCAGCTTAAACCCAACAGCATTATCACACGTAGTAAAATCAACAGTGGTTTCTCGGTGGCCACCTCTGTGGAGTTCATGTCCATTATTTCTTGGTTGTCTCAAAAATGGCTTTACAGTTTGGTATGTGGCAGTCATGAGGCCAAGTGGTACAACTGTTTAGCTCCTGCCTCCTAACCAGAAGGTCAGCCGTTCAGACCCCCTCAGCGGCTCTGAGGGAGAAGGCCTGGCAAGCCAGTTCAGTGCAGATTGCTGGTAGGTGCTGGCGGGTCTGTTCTGACTCCTAGTGACCCTTCGTACAACAGAACGAAATGCTGTGGGTCCTGCGCCAGCCCCACAGTCGTGCGTTTGAGCCCACTGTTGCAGCCACCGGACAGGTCCATCTGGGTCTTTGGTCTATGACCCTCTATTTTATGAAGCATGTTGTCCTTTTCCAGGGACTGAGCCCTCCTGATAAGATGTCCAAAGTCCACCTTGATGAAATCTTGCTGTCCTCTCCTTTAAGGAACACTGACTACTTCAGGAGCTCTGGTGGCGTAGTGCCTAAGACATTTGACTGCTAACCAGAAGGCTGGTGTGGTTCAAGAGATAGGGCAATCTACTTCCATAGTGATACCGCCTTGGAAACCCGAGGAGGGGTCGCTATGAGTCAGGATCGGCTCAACGGCAGTGAGTTCAGTTTTCTTTTCTGACTACCTCCAGGACAGGTTTTTTTTTGTGTTTCCACTAGTCCGTGGTATATTCTTCACTAGGACCATGATTCACGTGTGTCAGTTCTTCAGTTTTTCTTCTTCGTTCTCCAGCTTTCAAATGCGTACACTTGTTAGATCCTGTTGAGTTGGTTCTGACTCCTAGCGATCTCGTGTATAAGAGAACAGAACACTGTCTGGTCCTGTGCCACCTTCATCTGTTGCCATACTTGAGCCCGTTGTTGCAGCCACTGTGTCACTCCGTCTTGTTGAGGGTCTTCCCCTTTTGCGCTGATCCTCTATCAAGCATGTTACCCTTCTCCACGATTGGTCTCTGCTGACAACATGACCAAAGAACGAGCGATGAAGCCTGGCCGTTCTCACTTTTGAGGATCACTCTGTGTTTCTCCAGGACACACTGTTTGTTCTGTCAGTCTATGGTACACTCCGTATTCTTTGTCAACACCGCAATGCAAATGTACAGATTATTCTACAGTCGTCTTTATTCATTGTCCAGCTCTTACATGCATATGAGGCTATCGAAAGTACCATGTCTTGGGTCTGGTCTTCAATGGTGTCTTTGTTCTTTAACACTTTAAAGAGGTCCCTTGTGGCAGATTTGCCCAGTGTGACACGTTGTTTGATGTTTTGACTGTTGCTTCCGTGGGCGTTGCTTATGGATCCAAGGAAAATG